GGGAGAGATCTGGTGACCCTGCGCCCCATCCACACCTGTACCCTGCGCGTCCTCCCGCGACACACGGCGCTCAGAGCCTCCGCGGGCACAGGGACCGGGCGACTGGCTGGAGGCTGGCGCCCCAAGGGCCACCCCGGTCCGGAGCCCATGCCACCCCGGACCCCCACCAGGCAGAGCCCAGGCTGCCAAGACCATCACCCCTGGGTGGACCCCTGGCAGGTGCCTGCACCAGGCTGGACTGCGCCCCAGGTGCCAACGGCGTCACCTGCATTGCGGTGCCACTTCAGGGCGTCTTCCCTCCCTGCCCCCTCCTTGGGGCCTGGGGGGGTCACCTACCGCCATGCCCCCCCTCCTCGTGTGCCCTTGAGATCTCTCTTCCCAGTCGTGGCTCGAAATGATTGCCTCCCGTTTTACAGGTGGAGAAACTGAGCGCCTCACAGCTGGTAATTAACTGCCCACGGTCGCCGGCCGGCAAGTGGCGGCATTGGGTCCGCGCCCAGGCGTCCTGGCCACGGGGCAGTCACGCACTCGGGGCTGACCACCTAAGGGATCACAACCGCCGACCGCACATGCGCGGGACGTGCACGCGCTGCGCCTTCCGCCTGGAGCGCCTTCCCCCCAGAGGCACGTGTCCGGCGGGGGTCTTGGCTCAGACGTGGCGCTCCCTGCACACCGGGCTGAGCCCCCAGCAGGCGTTCCAAACCGATAACAAACCCACCCGCTGGGACACGCCACCTGGCCAAAGCACTGAGGCCGGGAGGGACACCACGCACTGCAGACCACCGGCCACCGGCCAACGTGGGGACCCTACGGACAAGAGCTCTCATCCCTCTCTCCTGCCCCTCCCCCTCCCTCTCCTGCCTGCCTGAGTGCTCTGCAGCCCACCCCATTCCCAGGACCAGACCACGTGACACAGCCTGGCCAATCAGCCTCAGTCCACCCCTCCAGCCACTGTGATTGGCTTAAGAACGGGCATGGGACCAGCAGCTGGGCCCAATGAGAACCAGCCCTGGGACTTTTGAGGGACCGTGGAGAAGAGGGAAGCCCTTTTCCCCTGCCGCAGCCTACAGGGGACCCCCTGGAGGAGGGACCGAGGGGAGCTGCCCCCACTTGAAAAGGAACCCAGGAGGGAGGCTGAAAACAAGACATGGAGATGACGGAGGCCATCCCTGGATAGAACTGTGCCTGAATGCTGTCTCTGTACAGCCTCCCTCAAGTTCCATCAGCTAATAAATCCCTTCCTTCAGGAAGCCAGAGTTTAGCTAGCATCGGGGTTAGGGTTTTGGACCTTTCAACTGCAAAGCCCTCACATGACATGCTAGGCTAACCAATGACCAGATGGTCACAGCGTGCTCTGGGCAGCTCCCTCCTTCCTCACTCTGTTGCCCAGGCTAGAGTGAGTGCCGTGGCGTCCAGCCTCGCTCACAGCAACCTCCAACTCCTGGGCTCAAGCAATCCTGCCTGCTCCAGCCTCCAAGTAGCTGGACTACAGGCATCGCCACCAATGCTCGCTAAATTTTTCTATATATTTTTAGTTGGCCAATTAACTTCTTTCTATTTTTAGTAGTGATGGGGGTCTCGCTCTTGCTCAGGCTGGTCTTGAACCCCTTACCTTGAGTGATCCTCCCGCCTCGGCCTCCCAGAGTGCTGGGATTATACGCGTGAGCCACCGCGCCCCGCCTAGACCACTAGTTCTTGACCAGGGGCAATTCCGTTTCCCACAAACACATCACAATGTCTGGACAATTTTTCTTTTTAGAGACAGGATCTCATTCGGTCGCCCAGCGGCACAACTGAGTACAGTGGCGCACACATAGCTCACTGCAGGCTCAAACTCCTGGCCTCAAGCCATCCTCCCACCTCAGCCTCCTGACCGGCTGGGACTGCAGGTGTGCGCCACCACGGCTGGCTAATTTTTCTATTTCTAGAAGAGACGGGGTCTCGCTCTTGCTCAGGCTGGTCTCAAACTCGTGAGCTCGAGCGATCCTCCCGCCTCGGCCTCCCAGAGTCCTGGGATGACAGGCGTGAGCCGAACCCGGCCGATGGAAGGATTCACGTAAGACACATCAGCCATTCGTAACGCTGGTTGTCTATGGATTCTTTTTAGAATTACAGAACAAACACATTTTGGGCATGATGAGACACGGGACTGGCCGTTGCCAGATTCCTGACGACACTGAGAAATCAGTGTCATTCAAAGACACTCCTTGGCTAGGCGCAGAGTGCAAGACCAGCCTGAGCAAGAGCCAGACCCCGTCTCTACTAAAAATAGAAAGAAATTGGCTGGACAACTAAAATATATATAGAAAAACTGAGCCAGGCATGGAGGCGCATGCCTGTAGTCCCAGCTACTCGGGAGGCTGAGGCAGGAGGATCGCTTGAGCCCAGGAGTTGGAGGTAGCTGTGAGC